AAACAGTGGAGAGCGCGTTCTGCACTAATTTGCCGAAGTTGAAAAGTTTTCTAGCAGCGTTTTTAGCAGAGTTTTTATGAACAGAGCGCGTTTTAAACGTCCAGACCACTGGCCATCATGTTTACAGAGTCAGAATAGTGATCGCTGTTAAAATGTGAATCTTCCAGATTGAATGTGGGGCCACTTTTTCTTCCTAACTGACTCAGTCGAGATCTGTCTGCCTTAACACTTTCATCATCAGGTGTGTCGGACCTCTCCCTCTCTCACCTCGCTTTTTATTGTTGTTGTTGTTTTTGAACATCATCAGCTTTGTATCGTTGTGTCATTGGAACACAGTAACAGTGAAACTGACTGTTTTACCGTCAGGCAGAGAGAGACTGAGTCAATGGGGAAGAAATCTGACTATTTCCAACCACAACAACTGGAGCAGCAGCTACCTGAGCTGACGGAAGGAACCAGATGATGATCATCGTTCACGCGCACAATGCGACCACGTGACACTTTTCCTCGCACGCGCTCATAAACGGTGACATACGAGAACATTTTGGTCTCAGTCTGGAGCCCTGTGTAGGCACATTGCTGTGTTATTCTAACATAAATAACATTATATTAGGTTATATTATATCAGGTAAATCCTATTATTCATCAGATTAGGAAACTCATCTCTCACGGGCCACATAAAATAACGTGACGGGCCAGATTTGGCCCGCGGGCCTTGAGTTTGACATGTGTTTTAGATACATGAGACCTCGAGGTTAACACACTGATACAGTGATTCATTCCTTGATTCAGTCAGTTCTTTCACTTATTCACTTAGTCAGGCAGAGTCGGTCCGTCTGTAAGCGCCACACTGACCCTGCAGTATTTACTGGCCTTCTCACTGCTGGATCTTTCTGACCTTGGCTGACCTCTGCTGCACTGTGTGCTCATTTATAAAGTGTATTGTAATCTATAACCTTAATTTTTCCCCATTCAGGGCTCATGCAGCTCCCATTTCCAATTATTTCAGCATAAGCGTCATAACAATCAGCTGATCCACATGCTGATCGGAGCTGACTGTCGTGCAACAGATGGACGTCTTAATCTTCCTCATCATCCCCTCCTCCAACAACACTTCCATCATAGTGCACCGGTGTCTGTTCTGTTTACCAGAGATAGCAGATTGATGCGGACGAGCATTACTGAGAACAACATACACACCAAAATGAGCTAATTTGGCAGCAGACTCACTGAACCGCTTTCATTTCCTTTGCATCATGACAATTAAATATGTGTACTAAACAAATCACATTTAATCGCATAAGTAATCCATAAACTAAGCTGCACTGTGCTGTTGTGGAACTGCTTATGGGTGACATGACATACAATTTCTGTGGCTTCTTTAAAACACATACTTTATTTAGTTTGCTAAATATGTGATGTAGATGTTGAATTAATAATAAGTTGAGAAAAGATATCCACAGAATGCACCTGCATAACGTTTTTCCTTTTTTCCACTTGAGGGCAGCATAAACAAGTTTTGAGCACTGACTGTATAAAAAGACAAATAGAAATATATACATGTATTTACAAAAGGAGTCAGTAGGAAGTATGTACAGTTAGCCAATAAATATATTGCACTGTTGAGGTAGGAACACTGTGGATATATGAGAAATATAAACAAATAATAAATATATGTGATAAATAGTACAGACTATGGAGACGAGTGTGCGTTCAGTACCTGTGTTGCACTTGGGTAGAACGTGTTGGTGAGTATGGGTGTGTGGGCCTTGATGGACCGGTACCTCTTTCCTGAGGGCAGCAGTGAGAGCAGGCTGTGCCTGGGCTGTGAACCATCCAAGGTGATGCTTCTGGCCCTGCGCAGACATCTGGTGTCATACATGTCTGACAGAGAGGACAGCTGTGCTCCTATGATGCTCTGTGCTGACTTCCTGACTCTCTCCAGAACCTTCTNGTCCATTACAATCACATGCAAATGGGCAGTTATGCAAATTAGGCAATGACGGCACTCAATACACTGTTCAGAATGTACAACTGTTTTTCACTGTATTTTTTGAAAATGTTTTCAACGATTTACAGTTGAAAAAAAAACAAAAAACATTGATCTGTAAAAAAAAAAAAAGAAAAACAACAAAAATACAGAGCAGAACTGTACATTATGTGCACATCAAAATCTGTATTTTTCTCATTAATAATTTGTGGTTTTACAGCAGCTGCCCACAACATTACACTTTTCTTTGTTACTGTTTTTAGATCTGAGAAAATATTTTACAGATATTTGTCAGTATTTGAAAGAAATGTTTTTAAGTTCTCAAAAACTGCTCAATAGCTTTTTAAAGTTGTTACTTTGAAGCTAAGATTTAGCAGAAAAATGTAAAATGTCTGGATTTACATTCTGACTGTAAAAATCCAAAAGATCTAGTAAAAATAAAAACTATCCATCCATTATCTATACACCGGTTAATCCTCACTAGGGTTGTGGGGGGCTGGAGTCT